AGGGGGGCCGAATGAATTTACCCATATTAATACACACTGGATTTGGCTGAGCTTAGTCGATAAAACATAAGCCAGTAATGCTCGTTCAAACATCATCGTCGACACAGAAGTCGTAGTTGCCAAAAACGGTTTGCACAAAAGCGCCGCAAAGTCGTAGACAGGCGAACAGTCCACTAGCCGCGGAACTCACAAGCGAAGAGATCAAGTAGTTGTATGCAAAAGAAAAGCTATTGGCAGTGCGTGGTTGTGCTTTCAATGGTTGAGAAATAGTTGCGTTAACCCCTAACCTTTATTCTAGCCCTTAACTATAACTCCTTACCATAACCCCTAACTTTAACCCCTAGTCCTATCCCTTAACCTCAACTCCAACAATATTGTGCCCATCAGGCGGGACTACCAAACCACATCTTACCAGCAATTTTATTGATATTGGTGCCTACTCATGCAATGCGTGAGTAGAAACGCAAAATGTTTTACCAATATAATAAAGAGATATTAAAGGGATTAATAGTGGAGGTGGGAAACAGACAAAATATGAACGTGGTAAAGTAGATAGATATGGGACAGTTCAATGTTTATAACTGTTCTCCGTTTAAATTACACTGTAATTTTGATAGACCTTTTGATATCAGCAGTTGAGGTAAGATCCTCGACTTGCACAGTTCCTTTTCTTTACTAAGCACTTTAAATATCTAATGATAAGGCTTGTTTCTTCACAAATTTTTGGCAACTAGTTAACTCCGCCTGTGGATAGATTCTCTAATTAACTGAACTAAAGCCAACATCTCCGAATATAAATGGTCAAGGCAAATAGTTTTCATTGTATACTGCGTGTTCTCGATTCACTAGTAGCACAGTGGAAGCATTTACCCAAGGTGAGCTGCGACTGCCTCTGAATAAATACAACGTTCTACAAATTCTTGCTAGATGGCGGAGTCATACATGAGAATCTGTTTCGGAACCTGACGGTGGAGAATCCCTCCCTCTCGTAAGTATCCACCGAACACAATGAACTTATTCATTCTCGGAAGTTTCAGTTTATGGCCAATACTCTCAATGGCTGTCAAGAAATTCGAGAATGGTTGATAAACCCCATTCTTGTGCGAATTCCGCCTTTTTTCTAACTTTTGGTTTTATTTCCTTTGCGAGCAATTTCATATGTCCAAATCCCGGTCTTATTCCGCGTATCGCAATAAATGCTCTAGGTATTAGCGTAGTTGATGTTTGCCGCATTTTCCGGGCAACTAAAATACTAATTTTCCCGGTCTATGCATACGTTAACGCTTACACTTAATACAATGATCTTTAAACGATATCCGTTGTTAAGCCTACACTCCCCTTTAATCTATAAAAACGACCCACAAACGTGCTTAAAACACATGCAGTATTGGGTACTGTTCAATAAAACCAGCCATTTGGGATCTTTGAAGACCGAAATGTATATCTTTGTTGGATCGTTAGGCTTTGGTTAGAACACGAGCATCGGAAGCTGTTTCTAAAATTAGGACACGGGAACAGTTACTCTAGCGCGGGTTCCGTACTCCCCTGTCCGACCATTGCCCATTGTTGCGCTGCTGTCATTGCTTCTGATTGTGTACGAGTACGAAGACCGGGAAAACGAACAAATGGTTTGGTGATTTGCCAGTCACCGTCTACCTTACTCGAGAAGACAGCTTGCTCATGCTCGTGGAAGTAATGTGCATCGATTCATTTGAGTTACAGAACAGAAAACGGGTGATTTCACTTTGTCACAGAAATGAGAGCCTATGGTCCATGTGCACAGCTATCTGGCTGTCAGCAGTCAAAAGGGCAGTGGTTCAGTCGGCAAGGAAAGGGACATCCAACTGGCCATTTCTGACCTATTTCTCCTGATCAACCCGTAATCTCGCAAACCCTGGCCCTGACACGCCCAACTACTGACGAGCGGACTGTCGTTTTTTACCACCTCCTCCCTTCCCCTTAACTCAAAGTTGACTGCGTTACTGTAGCTTTTAATGCATTTGACATGGAATTCGCCTTTTTTCCTAGAAACCTGGTTCGGAATTTCAACATGCCTATTCGTTTGCTAAATGCTACCGGACGTTCATTCGTTGTACTTGTACTCTGAGTTATATTCTTTGGACCGACTTCTGAATTAGCAGGCATTTTCTTCATACATCCACTATTCTCTCATTGCCGCCTACTCCACGGTTCCGTTTTCGCAGTTTCTTGTGGTCGGATGCAAAGCCGGTGTACAGTTGCAGGCAGCCTATGATAACTTAAGTATGGTCTTAAAATTTATCATCGTGCAGCATGATTCTGTAGCAATTCAGTTACCTCGAGATGCCGGCTTTCGAATGAACTTCTCTCCGGCTGCATGCAAAAACCACGCGCTGTAAAAAATGACTACCTATGTAATATTAATTTTTTTTCATTGATCTTCGATGCCCTTAAAAATGCAATTATATTTCATGGAGAAAATGCATAAAAATATTCATTTCTTTACTAATTCTGTGGAAAATTACGGCATCTTCTACTTTTACGCTCGCAGGAAGAGTATAATTCGGTTTTCAAAATCTTTTCCAATTCCTGAATAATTTCGACTTGTATTCAGGGCCTCCGGACTACAAGCCTATGTTTCCCGCGTATGGAAAATCATACATTTCACTACGGTTTTACGAAGAAACTAAATGTGATTCATAGAATGTGGCAGTGGATTTGAGCTACGTTGCAGACTTTACAAGCAACATTAGTAAATACAGAGACAAGATGTTTTATGAACGTATATTTCACGGTTTTATAAAATCACATAATTAGAAACTTTTCGAAAACCGAATTATACCCGTTTTCGAGTATAAAAGTATATGTCATAATTTTCTACAGAATTAATAAAGAAATGAATATTTTTATGAATTTTCTCCATGAAATATAATTGCATTTTTAAGGGCACCGAAGATCAATGAGAAAAATTCATGTTACATAAGTAGTCATTTTTTACAGCGCGTGACTTTTGCATGCGGCCGGAGCGAAGTTCATTCGCAAGCCGGCATCTCGAGGTAACTGAATTGTTGTAGAATCATGCTGCACGATGATAAATTTCAAAGCTATATCTAAGTAATCATTTTGCAACGAAAACGAATTTCAGAATTTCGGTTGACATTTCATGAGTTAGCACACCTACAGTATAGCGAGTGATCTGGCATCTTGACAACGGAACTAAAGAACACTCGCCAACTTCGCTACGGAGGAACGAGGTAATAAACGTCTCGAGTGGTCGGCATGTTTTGTCAGGCAAGCGATGATTAAGTCGATCATTTACCGCCAGTCAGAGTATTTGCAGCAAATGGCCGAAGTCCTTGAATCTTCGTTCAATCGATTCCGGTCTTTATGAAAAGCAATTAAATAGCAAATATTTAACAGATGATTTTGGGACCGGTGCCAAATAAGCGGCCACAGGTCTTCCATTACGGCTACCTTACGTACTACTGTTTGTTCAGTAGGTGTGCTTGTGGTATTTTTTTTTGCCGCCGCGGCAATGCCACTTTTATGCATTTACGCACACAAACTCCTCCTATTCCAAACCACCTCTGGGCAGTTCCCATGCGCTGCAGTTGCGCTGTTAACTGCCCGTTTGCCGGTTTCGTGGTTTACGTAGTGTTTCCCGTCATCATCTCTCGGTTTCCGGTCATGGTCCACTTGCCTCCCCTCCCACGCATTCCGGAGTCCACCTAACTAAGTTGCCAGCATTCCCATTTCGTCAGTCAGACTACCATTTACGCCAGCTGTCTACTAAAGTATCCAGCCCAGCTTCAACTTCTGCGCGTATACCTGACCCTACAGGCCTTCCCTCCG